GAGAATGCAGTGTCGGGCCCTGCTGCCAGCTCTGTCTCACCAGGGACTCTTTTAGAGGTTCCACCCTGAGCCAGCTCAGATGCAGTCACTTCCTAGGAACTGTGCCTTGGGCAAGGAGTGACTGGTAAAGATTACACTCTACGTCCCCAGTTTTTGGCTGCTCTGGGCCTATACTGTTCAAGTGCTTTCTAAGCACTGACTCCTTGGAGGCAGGGAAGGCTATGGTCATTCATGCTAGCTGTCAGGAGGACCAAGGCATAGAGTCCCAAGGTGCACAGCCAGAATCTTAACCCAGGTGGTCTGCCTCTGAGACCGAAGGCTGCCTGGAGAGGAACCTGCAAATTTGCCCTGTCAAAGGCCCTCTAGGTGACCCCAGCTATTTAGGACTCTGTTCCAGGTTTTTTTCAGTCTTAGCAGTTTGGCAGAGATATGCAGGCTTGGGCCTTGTGGCCTGCCCACAGTGAACCAGTGGGGGCCTCCCAACGTGGTGGCTTCACTCTGACATGGACCCGTTTAGGGAGTTTCAGCTCAGGAACCAGGGAAGTACAGAGTCCTGGTTGACAGGGAACAGGACAAGGATCTTGGCCTTTTCATGTTCTGGTAAAGTTAGGGAAAATTTACACTGATAGTAATTTGGAAATCCAAGCCAGTGAGCAGGTGAAGAGTACCCACTGGCTGGGCTGGGTGATGTCAAGGCGGACCCAATTACAACGGTCCATGCCTAACTGACCAGTTTACCTCCTGCTGCAGCAGCTGCCCTGCAGCCTTGTGCGCTGACCTCTGGAGGCCCCACCCCGTGGTCCACTTCCCCAGCATCCTTTTCTGTGGTTTTGTGTCAGGTTCTGAGCACCTCTGTGGATAGCTTCCCTGCTGTCCCCCCAGGGCATATCCACACCTTCTGCCAGTGCCGCACCTCGGCAACCTCTTCACACCAACCACAACCTCTTCATACCAGCGAGTCATGGCTCTACCTTTGCTAGTGGGGTCTGCATCTCACTCTGCAGGGAGGGGCAGCTCCTCACAGCTGCTACGCACATACTCCTCAGGGTACTCTCATCTTCCTATAAACCAGTCCCTTGTCATGCCTTAGAGAGTAACAGTTCTTCATTGTGAATGTCTGCTGTCTAAATTACTGTGTAGTTTCAGACCCAGGCTGACACAAAAACCACACTCACGGCCTCCCTGCAGGCTTCGGTGCTGCTAGCCCCTCTGGCGCATCTCCCCTATTACCATGGTATGTGGGTCAAGAGCACCGCTGCTGGAGCCTGGGCTGGCCGCTGGGAGGCCTTCCCACCTCTCCCTGCCTTGGTCTCCGCTGTGTAAAGGGAGACACCTTAGTCTGTCTCAGCTGCTGAAGCAAAAATACCCTAGACTGGGTAATTCATAAATAACAGAAATTGGTGTTTCACCCTTCTGGAGGTGGGGCCACCCGTGATCAAGGTGTCAGCAGATTGGGTGTCTGCTGAGGACCTGCTTATTTCAGATGCTGCCTTTTATGTGTCTGCACATGATGAAGGGGCAAGTGAGCTCTTGGGGCTCCTCTATGAGGGCCCTATTTATGAGGGCAGAGCTCTCATACCTTAATCAGCTTTCCAATAGCTCTGTCAATGTTAACACACTGAGGACGAAGGGTTTCTTTTTTGGGGGGAGGGTGGTATTGGGACCTTGCGCTTGCCAGGCAGACACTGTACCTGGCCCCAGGGATTATGTTTTAACCTCTGAATTTTGGGGGGAAGGAGTGTATTTAGATTTGAACAGATTACAGAATTATGGGACCTCATGAGCTAATGTATATAAAGCATTTGGCATATATTAAGTTATGTAAATGTTGATATTACCCCAACTTCTTTCAACCCACTCTCCCGGGTTTTGGCAACAGGCTCATCTCTGGACAGTCCTTACCCCTAGGCTGAGTTAAGCGCCCTCTCTGTGCCCCTTACACTGCTTCACTGTGCTGATCTCGAACATTATTGCTGCAGGAAGACTTGTCAGATAGTCTCTTCTGGTGGGACTGGACGCCCCCTGAGGCCAGGGGCATGGCTGAGGAGCTCATACCCCACCTATGTGCGTGAGGGATTAACTGTGCTAGTTCAGCTCCTTTGAAAATCATGCACCAAGACAGGAGTAATGGTGCAATGGGGAAAAGATGTAGGAAGGACAAAGGAATGGGGGACAGGCAACAGCCCGGACAGCCTTCAGACCAGGGTACAGGGCTGCACCTGGAGAGGAGAGGGCAAGGGAGACTCTCAAAGTTTAGACAGTTTTAAAAACTTCAATGATTGGGCCACTGAGGAGTCCTTGAACCAGTCACCCACTGGGGACATGGCACAGTTCACCTGGTGTGGGAGAGCCACTGTGCTCTACACTGGCTGAAAGCAGCTGGTGGTGGCACAGACGTACGTGGCAGTGGAGGAGGCTCTAGAGAAACTACAGCTGGCACTATGAGCCAGCACTGCTCCTGCAGCAGGTACCATGGTCATCACAGATGCCAACAGACAGAACGCTGGCCACACGCCAGAGCAGGCCCAGAAACAGATGTGAGAGGATTTGTCACCTTGATGCAAAAGAGGACACAGGGCCACGTCCCTCTTGAGTAGGCTGCTGTGCACACAAGCACATGCATACATAAGGACTTGCTAACTGAATTTATAAAATCACTCAAAATCCTATCATAAAAACTACTTTCAATTTTGTGAATTTTCTCCCAGGTGCACCATGTTTACAATATGTAATCATCCTGCAGGTAGTACTTCATGTGTTTTTGAGACAGGGTCTCACTATCCAGTTCAGGTTGGCCTCAAATTCATGGTCCTCCTGCCTCAGCCTCCTGAGTGTTGGGATTACAGGTGTAGACCACCATGTCCAGTTTTATCAAGTATTTGATATTTATAACTAATTTTCTTTTGTTCTGTTTTTTATAATTGCATGCTTTAGTGGCTGAACAATATTTACAATTTCTTAAAGTCATTGTTGTTCAACTTTTCCTTTGTTCCTATTTTGAAAAGTACATTTATTTATTTATTGGCAGCTCTAGCGATTGAACCCGGGGCCTCTGCTACATTAAGTGTCCTAGTTACTTTCTCTGCTGCTAGAACAAAATACCCAACACCCACAAGTTAAAGGAGTAAAGGCTTACTTTGGCTCATGGTGTGTAGTCCTTTCAGTCCGTAGTTGGCAGGCTCCAAGCCAGGATGGCAGTGCGGAGGAGTAGTAGTCCATGGTAAGCAGGCAGTGAGAGCCAGTTGGCTCTTTCTGTCCCTTACACGTACGCAGGCCAACTGCCCTGGCGCCGGCGCAGTACTCACACCCCTAGTCGTAACCGCAACTATGCTAAACCAGTCAGTGGACTGATGGGTCATCACACAGTCTTGGTCCCAGCACCGCACTCTAGATCCAGCCGCCTCTAAAAAGCACACCTTATGGCTGCATGAGGCTTTGTTGGGGGGGACATCTAGACACAAAACAGTCCACCACCTCCCTGTGGTGCCATGCTGCGGCCAAGTCCTTGACGCATGGGCTGTTTGGTGTCATCCCAGATCCAAATCATAGCACCCCCTGTACTTGCTTGTTGTATTGGGTAGGGCCAAAGGGAGATTACACTAGGCTGAGAACTGCAGAACCAGAACCACCTGAAGGATAGCTGGGAGCAGATGCTGTGTTCGTGTTAGCTAAACTTCATCGAGTGTTTCAGTGTTCAAATATGACCAGTACAGCGGAGTAGAAGTTATATGACTTGTGTCTTGATGTTTTTCCAAAGCCTTGTGAAGTCTTAGATGGGGCTTTTTCGGAGGTGGAAGAATCCTGGGATTAAGGGCATGTGATTAGCCCGTTGACTGATACTCCCTTATCTCAGGAGCCTAGATGGAGTATAAAAGGGGCAGAAAGCAGCAGTTAAGGGCTCTTGCTGCTTGGCTACCTTTGGGCTTCCATGAGCTGCTCTCCTCTAAGCCACCCTGCCTTGCAGCTGATTATGGACTGAAACTTCTACAAACTGCAAGCTAAACAACCTTTCTTATCAAACTTTGGGTGTTTGGTATCTTGCCTCAGTAAGGAAAGAACTAAGCCACTCCCACCCTAGCTCCCTCTTCTCCAGACTGCAGTCTCCCCAAGACCATCTGGGTCCTTTGAGTTGCTGCTGCCAGATAATTTCCTAAAGGGGTCAACAGATAGCACTCAGAATTGCTGACTGGAGCTTTGAGAGCCACATTAAGCAGCTGTGAGATCCAGGGGAGACGCCATCTTGAAAGACTTGCTGGTCTTTGGGCAGCAGATCCAAAGCCTGAGCACCATGATCCTTGTACCACTTAAAAGCACAACGTAGGGGAGCAATCTCTTATAGCTCACCATGGACTTTCTCTGCAGTAGCTTCTGTATGTGCACCTAGCTCTAAACACACTGGATGGGACACACACTGAGGACACTAGTGGGGACAGAGGCAGTGGGAGTGGGCAGATCTAATGCCTGCACCATGACTCTTTTCCTTGTATGCTGACTGTGGCTAGATGTGCACGTGTGTGACTGTGGGGCAGAGGCAAGACACACACACACACACACACACACACACACACACACACACGAAGACTTCAGGAGTCAAGGTTCTGGGGGCAGAGCATATGTTTGGGGTCTAGGAAGAGCCCAAGAATGGAGACAAAGATTGGCTTGGAGAAGCAGCAACTTCAGAGGTTTGCTCTCTCCCATACTGGGGCTACCTTTTTGTATTAGTCTATCGTCCGTTGCTATCACAAAATACCCAAGGTTGGGTAATCTGTAAATAAGTTTATTTAGCCCATAATTCTTTTTTTTTTTTAAAGGATTTTTTTTAATTATTTATTTATTTATTTATTTATTTATTTATTTATTTATTGTGTGTGGCCAGCTCAGCCCACCAGGGGGCGGGGCTAGCTGGCATGTGGTGCTGGGGGATCGAACCGCGGTCCACTGTGCTTTGCTAAGCTTGTTCTAAGTAGGTGCCTTAGACCACTGAGCCATCTCTCCAGCCCTAGCCCATAATTCTTGAGGTCTGAACACACATCAGCTTCTCTTCATCTCTGGTGAGGACCTGATGGTGGATGACATCACAATCGTGAATGCATACAGGAGGTCACATGATGGGACCTGAAGCCAGGGAGGAGGGACCAGTCTAGCTCTCTTTAAAGAACTTGCTCACTCCAGAGCTCACTTTGAGAGACAATCATTAATCTTTTCTAATGGTAATAACCTAATTACTCTTCCTTTGGGCCCAATCTCTCAGCCCTGCTACACCAGTGACCAAATTATCAACACAAGAACCTTTGGAGGTCAAAGCTTATCCAAACCAGAGTACTTAACATTTGGGCAGCTCACAATGTCTGACACTGCCATCTTGGCCCCTTCCATGACTAAGCGTAGACAGGGTAGGAGAATGGTGATGTGGAGCTCATCCTGTCCAGACTCCAAGATGTCCTTCTCCTGCCAAGAGTCAGGTGGCCCACACAGCCCTATCCTCTATGACACACAGAAGCATCTGGGTGACATACCAGGGAGCCCAGCGAAGCCTTATCTGCCAGGGTAGATTCATTCAGTCCCTGCCTCGTCCATTCCTTTTTCTACCTACCAATTTCATACCCTGTGGTGTCCTAAGTACTAGAAACGTGTGTGCCCATCAGGTGCTGAGCCTACCCAGGGTTCGTGGAGGGATCTGCAAGCTGTTACAGTGCACTACGTCCCAGAGCTGAGGAGCGAGCAGATGGCCATGTCCTGCCCATCCTTCAGCCCAGGTGGCCCTCTCTCAAGGATTCCCACTAGGAACTTTCTGCCACCACTGAATACCCTTCCCTAGTGTGGCCTAATCCCTGTACCTTGAATTACACTGGTACCAGGATTCATTTCCTCAAAACTCGTCCAGGGAAAACACAATTTATATGAATTATGAAGCCAGCTGTCACAGCTGTCCTCACTTTCATCTGTTAAGGCATCCTGCCCAAAGATGAAGCCCTGGGGGTTTGTTCTGACCACCAGTGGGGGCTCAAGAAAACTAGGACAAAGAAACAGCTCTCCTTGGGTTCAAAGTGCTACCAGGCCAGGCCTACTGCCACCACCTCACTCTGCTCTCCTGTGTCCACAGTTTTCCCCACCCAACTCTTCTCTCCAATCCTGACTGTGCTCCATACGCGAGGGAATGCTGTGGGCATCTCATCAAAGCCTATTCTGCAATGGCCTGCTCCTTCTGCTGCCTTCAGGCCTAGCTCTTGCTGGGTTCTAGGGATGCTTTCCCTGTTTCCAGTGCAGAGGCTTCCCTCCGGCCTTCTCGATCCTCTCTGGGTATGGCATCCCATCTATAGGGCCCTACCGGTAGTCCTTAAGGCCACATCTTAGGCAGCCTAGGGTCTCACTAACTTCACACTTTGGTTTCTTTTAACCTATAACACAAGGGAGAAGCACTGGAATTTGGCCCTCAAGCACCTGGGGGTGGGTGGTGGTTCTGTTGCAGAGAAGGCTCACGTTCCACACGTATCTCAGCTGGTGATGCCTGGCCTGACTCCCACAGGCTACCGGAACTCAGAGACCAAGAGGGAGGCCTCCTGTTTATCATTTGTGCTGCTCTCTATCAGGCCCTCAGTTCACAACTTCCATAAACCTACCATCCCGCGAGGTAGTTTGCATCCTCCCCGTTTCACAGTTGAGGAAAGCAAGGCCCAGATTCTTAAAGGGACTTTAAGGTCACTGGGGTCATAAATGGTCTGTGAAGGTAGAACCTAGGCTTCTGAACTTCAATGCCTGCGATCATCCTGCCTCTGAGCTGTGGAGGCAGAAGGACTAAGAGATGACCCAGCGTCAGAGGCAGGATGGCAGCAGCATGACTGGGGAGTGTTCAGGGGACTGAGCCCCCCTCAGGCGCGACCCGAGTTCAGAGTCACCCTCCACACTTGCAGTACAGAGTCACGGCGGGTCGTATAGGGTAAATGTTTGATGCGGAACCAGTGTCTGGGGACAACGTTCCCACTGGGTGTATACAGCTTCTCTCCATCGCTGCCCAACAGGCTGCGCAGAGCCATGTTGCCTGACAGCAGTTTCTCGTAGAACTCCACTCCACCCCAGGCGTAGGCGGTAGACAGTGAGGCTGTGCGGCGGTCCAGCCAGCCTTCCAAGGCATGAGTGAGGGAGTCTGTGGAGAAGGCATAGGCCACGAAGCCCACCACTGCTGCCACCAAGTTAAAGGCAGCTCGTACATGCATGGGCCCTCCGTAGAGCCCCAGTGCATGCTTGGCGCCCACAGTCAGTGCCCAGGTTCCTGCCAGGCAAGCTGGGGCCGGCAGGGCCTGCAGGGCAGCAGCGCTGCTCTCCAGGTACACCACTTCCCTGGCCAACGTGAATTTCTGGGCGTCACGGGTTAGCAGCAGGGCCTCTTTTAGCCGAACGCCTGCTGGGCTCTGCCAGTTGACACTCTGCCCATGGATGACCACAGGATGATTAGTGCTGGTCACTGGGCCACCCAGGAAGTTGGCGGGGATGCCCACCATAGCCCCAGCGGGGAGTCTTGGGAAGCCAGCACTCACAGGCTGGAAGGTGAAGGTGGTGAAAGGCTTGTAGCAGTGGCCTGAGGGGATGCCCATGTCCTGTAGCACTTCTTGAAAAAGACTCTGTAGCTCTGGGGCCAGTGAGGCTGGTTGGCCCTGAGGCCAGTACTGGTACAGCCATCGGAGAACAGGATCTGCAAGGAGGTGGTAAGAGATTTGGGCTCCAAACAGGCTTGTGCAGGAGCCCACCAAGAGGGCTGTCCTGTGTCTCTGGACAAAGGCTGTGGCCCACCACAGGAAGCCAGCCATGAGTGCTGCCACTGCTGACAACCTGGCCAAGAAAAAGAGAAGTTAGTGGACGGTTCCCAGGTCTGCCAGCAGACTACACATCCAAGAGCCATCTCCTTAACTGCGGCAGTACTGCACCGTGGTTAGGAGTATGGGTGGTAGAGCCAGGTCTCCTGAGTTTAAAGCACTTTTTCTCCATTTACCAGGCAAGTATGTGACAACAGAACCCCCTTGAAGGTGGCAGTCATGAGTACATGAATGAATATACACAAAACAATGTGTTTGGGATAGCAGAAACATCTCTTGTGTCAATGGCTATAAGAACTATTTTTATTCCCATGGGTACGCACAGTACTAAGTACCCAACTGCCTCACCACACCTCCCCATTCATCCTACATGAAGCTCCATGATGCTAATCTATAAATAAATCAATTGTTCAATTTAATGAGCACTTACTATGCGCTGGACACAGCTCTGTATATGCAGCGGTCACACAGGATCTATGAGGGTGTAGTTCTGGCCCCCCATAGATACCAAAGTCTAAGGATGCTCAGGTGTTTTACATAAGCTGGCATGATGTTTGCGTAAAACCTATGCATATTTTCTTATATACTTTAAGTCATCTGTAGATTACTTTTAATATCTAAGGCAATGTTAATGCTATACATAGTTACACTAGGTTGCTTGGGCAATAATGACAAAGAAAAAAAAAAGGCTGGCCTCAGCATTCAGTACGAACACAATTTTTCTAATATTAATCCTGTGTGTTTGATTTCACAGATGAGAATCTACAAATATAGAGGGCCAACTGTATCTGGCCAAAACAAGTGCCTGTAAAAATAATAAACACAGTGTTGTTTAAATATGTACATATACTTACATACTCACACATGCAACACACACATAATCATCTCCTCTGATCTACAAGGGATCGGTCCCTGGACCTCTGCGGATACCACAATCTGTGGTGCTGAAGTCTCTCACATAAAGTGGCTTGGGATTTGTATACAACATACAGTCATCTGCCCACGTATTTTCAATGATCTCTAGATTACTTATAGTAATACAATATAAAATTTAATTATGTACTGCTTAGGGAATTGAAGTCTGCACATGTCCAGTAGTGATGGAAAAAGTTTTTTCCAACTATTTTCAATCTGCAGGTTGTCGAACCTCTAGATGCGAAACCCGAAGACACAGATGGCTGACTGTACTGTCTAACAATAAAGGCTTCACAATCCCCAAGCCCTTTACTATGACTGTCTCTATGCTAAGGCAGTGAAAATTAGTGCAAGGACAGGTTAAGTTAACTGACCAAAATCCCAAGCTAGAAAAGTGGCACACCTCGGTCTTGGACCTCCAGCGTCTGATACAGTGAGAAAATAAACTGCCAGTTAGGCCGCTCAGCTGGTGGCACTGGTCAGGGCAGCCCCGGGCATCAGGCAGAGCAGTTGAATGTTGAATACAGGCTGTCAGGCGAGCTCAGCAAACCTTCTATTTCAGAAAACTTATGCTAAGCTATATACAAAAGTCGACTAAATAGTACATTAGCGCCAACCATCAGGAATTCACAGCCAATACTGCTTCATTTCTATTCCCACTACAATGCCCTCTGACTCATTCATTCTAAAACACCCCAGGACCCTGTCAAATATGTCACTATTAATCACAGTTATTCAACTTTGGCTGAAGCTTACAGTATTTGTGAAGTGTCTAATTATCAGTGAGTTTCAGCAAACCACAGCGATGGGTACTCTTTGGCCTATTTTAGTTGAGATCTTGGGTTGGGGGTGTAGCAAGGTGCTGGGCACGTATTTCCCTCGCCTGTCAGAGGCCTGGGTTTATCCCCAGCTCTGGAAAACAAAACAACAAAGATATTTACAAAGGTCACATCTCATGAGCCTTTCTTTCAAAAGACCACACAGGCTCAGAAAAAAAGGCTCCTGAAAAGTACCCTCCCCCCAGTTCCTCCAGGCCAAGGTGCACCCTGGGGTGGCTTTCAAAGGCGTCGCCGCGCATGTCCGGGGAGGCCGGCCCAGCAGGCTGCAAGACCCAGCCGGAAGGGGCCCGCCACGCTTCCAGCCTGGGCCCCAAGGCTACTCTCGGCAGCCTGCACACCCTACAGCAGGGGAACGAAGTAGGAGGGGAGACTGCGGAAGAGGTTTCAGTTCCGCAGGTCCCTAAACACGACCATCCCGCTGGACGAGCTCACCTCCGCGGCTCCAGGGGACCCGGCGACACGTGCGTGGGGATGGCGTACGCAAAGCCTGTTGGTCAGGCTCGGGGGCGGGACGGGGCGGGCGGGGGTGTGGCCAGGGGCGTGGCCAGGGAAAGGAAGGCAAGCTCAGGGGCGTGGCCAAGGGCGGGTCGGCGAGTGCTGGGGCGGGGCTGGCCAGGGGCGGGACGGCGAGTGCTGGGCGTGGCCATGGGCGTGACCATGGGCGGGGCCAGGGCTCTGCCTAGGCAGCGAACCAGGCACACCCCGCGGGAGCAGCGCAGGCTGGGCTTGCCTGTACCTGAGTCTTTACCCCTCTTGAGCACCTTGGCGCGTTGAGCTGGCCTCGGAAACCCCGCGCTGAGACCTAGAACACCCTTTTTAACCCTAGAAGGAACGACGGCCCCGCTATCACGAGTCCCCTTGGGGCCCATCCTCATCTGACTGCAAGGCCTGTGGTGCTTTTTCTGTCTGGAGGTGCCTGCGGGCTCCAGATTTATTATTTCTGAGTCTGCAACCCAGTAGCTGCTCCGATGCTTCACACTGTGCTGTCTACAGAGCGACGTCACATCTTCACATCTTCCTTGCTGCAGTGTGAGGTAGACCAGGGATTTGCCACCCGATTTTATAAATAAAGTATTACACAATTATACTCATCCCTCTTCCTGTGGATAGCTGCTTTCCTTCTAAAGGGCAGAGTGGCTAGGACAATCTGGCTCGCAGTACAATATTATTTGGCCCAAGTCTGGCATCTGCCTCAGGCCTTCTCTTCATTTCCAGCTTCAGGGGAACTGCCACAGTGTTAGGAGCCTCGGAGGCGTGTGGGCCTGGCAGTCAGGCTTTGGCCAAGTTTAGTGGCCCAGAATCATGCCTGGGCATACTGCAGCCAGCCTAAGGAAGACCTTAAATGTAAAGGCCGTCATCTCTGGGACCTCAGTTACTTTCTCTCTATAGTGAAAATGTTTGTCTCTAAGGGCCCAATTACACGCCTGATCCCTTGAAAAGCACCGTGTTTGCGTTTGATCCCACAAAGGGCTTTGGGGAACAGATGTAAATCTGGCAGTGACAAAATCCCTCAGATCCCAGAGTCTTGGTTTTCTTGGTTAAGTCTGGCTCCCTCCTGTGCTGGCTACGTGGTCTAAGGCAAGTGAGCCTCTGTGAGTCTTGCGTGGTTCTCTTCTGTAAGATGGAGGTGAGAGTACTACCTACCTCCTACAGTTGTGGGGGATACAGTGAGGTCATGTATGTGGAAGGTCAGGCACAGTTCGTGTGATCCAGTTATTGGTGATTATTATTAATCAGTTCAGTTCTGAGACTCCGACTTTTGTTGCTCAGTTATTTTGTATGTAAATAGTGCCATGACCATAACAAAATCTAGCGTGTGGGATGTTCCGTGGGATAAATGAGGTGGTTTACCGAACAAATCAGTGACGTAAAAATATACAAGGAGGAGGGATTGTTATGAAATAAGAGATTTGAAAAACAGCAGTTAAATGCAACATGTGGCCTTTGCTGGGATCCTGAATCAAACTAGCTGTAAAAAAAGACACCTTTAAGGAGAAATTTAAGAATGGATTTTTATAAAAGATAATAATGAATTAGGTTTTGTCAGGCAGGATAACAGTGGGGGGCTTATAATAAGCCAAAAACGTACTTATTAAAGATACATATTGAAGTATTTATAGGTAAAACAACATAATGTCATAATGTTTTGTCTGATTCAGGCTAAAGAGAACAAACAGAGGCATCGATGAAATGAAATAACATTGGCAAATTTTAGTTTTGTTGAAAGGGCATAAAAGGTTCAATATTTCATTATACCATTCACTATTTTTGTGTGTTTGGAAATTTCCATAATAAATTGCTATTTTAAAATGTGCTTTTAAAAGTAGGCTGGTCAACTACAGATCATAAAAACTTTTGTGTAGCAAAGAACACTATCATGAAAAGTGGAAAGAAAATCCACATAATAGAAGAAAATACTAGACATTATACATCTGGTCAGGGTGTTGTGTCCAGAATATGTATAGAACTTGTAACAACTCAACAAACAAATGAAGAATAGGAAATAGTTTGGCAATTCTTCAGAAAGTTAATATTAGAATTACTCTGTGACCTGGCAACTTGATTCCTAAAAGTTCATCCCTGATAATGAAACTAGGTATTGAAACAAATACTTGCACACAAATAGCCATAACAGCACTAAATACAGCCAAGAGGTGGACATAACCCAAATGCCAGTCATCTGATGAATAGATAAAAAAGATCTGACATATTCTATACACTGCAAAATTATTTAGCCATTAAAAGGAATAAAGCACTGGTAACCTACTGCAGTATGGATGGACTTACAAACATTATAAGTCAAAGAAGTCAGACATAAAAGTCACATTGTATAATCCCATTTATGTTGAGTGTTCACAATAGGCAAATCCATTGAGACCGGAGATTCGTGGGCAAGTGATAGGAAACAAGACAAGTGCATGTGGGCACCTCTTATGATTGCAGAGGTCTGAGGTAACTTGTATTGGGCCCGGGAGTTAGCTCAGTAGAATAAGTGCTTGCCTGGCAAGCGCAAGGTCCTGAGTTCAATCCCTGGTACTGCAAAGAAAAAAATAAAATAAAATAAAGGTAACTTGTATTAACCTCAGGATGTCTCAGTAATTTAGTATTAAAATAATTATACAAGTTTTTTTCTTTTCCTGGAACATATGCAACATTTCTTGGTATGCCCCCTCTCTTCCTGCCCCTCTCCTATATCTACCAATAAAAGTCACTTGCCCATCCCAGCTGAGGAGTAGACAGAACATTCACCACTCAGTCAACTGCAGCTCCTTCGAGGGTTGTTTCTCAGGACAGAGGGGATAAGACAGTGCTTTCCCTGAGGCTGGCCTCCCCATGAGAAGTGTGTGGTGGCTTCATTGTGTACCTGGAGTCCAGCTATCCCAAAAAGCTTCTCTCTTGCCACTGTCTGAGCGTCTCAAACTCTGCACCTTTTGTATTCTTTCAAGAATCTATTCAGTTCCTACCCTGTGCTGAGTGACAGAGGACAGTGTGGGTAAGAAGCAGACACAGCCTTCAGAGAGGTCCCTACTTGGTAAAGCAGACGGACAAGTGCATGTGGGCGAAGAGCTCTTGCCCATTCCCTCTGATCAGTCACAAAGGAGGGGGGACCGCTTCTCAGGAAGGTAACCTTGTATCTAAACTTTAAAAGACTTATGGAAATTTGCTAGGAGCCAAGAAGGGGAGAGTGGGGTATTTTCCTGTAGTGACTGGGTCTCATTCCAGGAGAGGACAGCTTTCCCCTTAACTCTCAGCTGATCCTTTCTGGAGTGTGGGAGTGAACAAAGCACAAAGGGCAGAGTCTCCATGCAGATGCATAGGGTGAGGCCCGCAGGTGGCCCACAGGTACCCGTCAGCACAGGCTGCTGGAAGAGTGAGGGGGGCAGTTTGCTGCGGCCATTTGAGGGAACCAGAGAATAGCAGGTGATGAGTCTCTTCTCTGCCTGGAGTCTTCTTTTTGGCAGTGTCCTGCTGGGGGCCTGGAAGGGGATGGACAAGTTCAGGGTGGGTCACCATAGTCTAGGATAGGAGCCTACCACCGAGCCTCTGTCCTGCCCCAGCCACCCGGCCCTGACTTGGGACTGTTCCCTGGGTCTAGCTTCCACCACCCTTTATTCTTTCTACTACTTGTGGTTGGATGAAACTTGGGTTTGCTTAGTCAGCACATGTATTTAGCACCTGAACCATAAAAAATAAGATAATTTTCAGCAAGGATAAGGCTGCTAAGGAACTAAAACTGGAGGATAGGGTTATAAAAGGTGAGGTTCTTTAGCTATGATGGTCAGGGAAGGTCTCAGTGAGGAGAAACTATTTGAGCTGAGGCCTACATGGTGGGAAGAACAAGATGGCCAGAGGGGTAGGAAGCAACCCCAGCAGAGCAGGCGGCTAGTGCCTGGGGCATAGGGCAGTGTGTTTGGCTAGAATAGAGTGGGGCATGAGGAGAGGGTGGGGGCGGGGGATGCAGACGGGGGCTAGATCTCCAGAGTCTCCAAGGAGGTCCTGCATTTTACTGCAGTTGTGACCCAGACAAGAGCTGGTTAGTGCAGGGATGAGTGGGGGTGTCTGACTCCTGGAAGAGAGAACAGGACACGAGGAAACAGACAGCTCTTCTCTATGAAGGCAGCAGGTGCACCTGGGGAATAAGGAACGTTCTGCTTTGTTTTGTAAGGTGCATATATAGAACAGTGAGCTCACTGAGTGAGAAATTAATGGTACCAGCAACAAGCGAAGGAAGGATTCATCTCTGTAATGAGGGAAGCTGCAGTCCACGGGCTCCAGCTGAGAACTCATGCTGGGATGATAAGGTTGCTTTTACTCATTTGCTTCTTCTTCTTTTCATATGTGACATATGGAGCAAGTTCATCTGTGGAGAATATAGTTGGAGGGGGTGGAGGAGGTTTGAAGAAAGCATAAAAGTTGTAAAAGTTTCACTTGAGGAGGGAGAAAGAGTCCTTGGGGAAAATGTACTGTGTGTTGTGCAGCTTGAGCGTATTGCGATCTAGCTCCACAAAGCAGCGTGGGGGCTGTGATTTTCTTCCTGTGCAGGTGTAGGGATTGGCAGATGGTTAGCTGGATTTAATCACAGGGAGGGTTTGCCAGGCAAGTCTGAAGTGGGGAGAAGGTGGCAAGGTTGTTGAGAGAGTTTGCAAAGAAGTGATTATGTAGGCCGTGGGCTCTAAGCTGAGGAGGAGTACAGTGAGGTCTGGTGTGGTGAGTACACAGTGCCTGGCTCTGCCCAGCCCGGTTTCTTATCACTTTGCAGAAGGAACAAGTGGCAAGATCATGGCTCACTGGAAAGTAAAGATTGTTGGAATAGGGTCAAAGAGTAAGCCAGGTAGAAATATAAGGGAGAGGTGCTCAGAGGATTGGGCTTTTGGGGAATGGGTGAAGGATGTTGAGGATCGAATCCAAGGCCACAAACATGCTAACCATACATTCCACCTCTGAGCTACCCTAGGGATGGGATTTGTGAACATTTCAGAGGTGGTGTTAACATTGGTGATGACAA